CCCCGGTTAGGGAGAGTCTGCCTGGTTATCACCCCACAGCAGGGGGCTGCTTTCTTTCTTTCCCTTTTCTTTTTAACTCTGAAGAAAGAATTTTTATTCCTGCCCATTTCACTGACCAGGACTGTGACTAGAACCAGTGGTTCCCAGCCAGGGACAGTTTTGCTGCACAGGGGACATTTCTCAATGCCAAGAGACTTTTTTTTTTTTTTTTTTACATTACATCCTCAGATCTTACTTATCTTATAAGTAAAAGTTTGTCCCTTCTGACACCTTTACCCGTTTCTCCGCACCCCTGCCTCTGACAACCACAGTTTGTTCTGCTTCTGTGAGCTCCTCGTTATAGATTCCTTATGTAAGTGAGATCATACGGTGTTTGTCTTTCTCTGACTCATCTCACTTAGCACAATGCCCTCGAAGTTCATCCACATTGTAGCAAATGGCCAGATTTCCTTCCTTCTCATGGCTGAATTATATTCCACAAACGTACCACGTGTTCTTCGGCTGTTTCTCTCCACATGGACACGTATGTCGTTTCCATGTCTTGGCTGTTGTGAGTGATGCTGCCGTGAACGTGGGGGGAGGGAGGCAGACCTCTCTGCGTTAGTGGTTTCTTTTCCTTTGGGTCCATACCCCAAAATGGGATTGCTGGATCATGTGGTAGTTGTATTTTTAATTTTTAGTTTTTTGAGGAATGGGCAGAGGTGGTGTTGGAGACAGGACGGAGGGGTGAACTTTGGGAGCAGAAAGACAAAAGACCAAGTGTGGGAGGATACGCCGGAGTCGCTACTGAGCCTTGAGATGAGTCGGCATCTGACCCATTGCACACATCCCAAAGCCCGTCCCTGACTGCTCGCCACAAGCCTGAACCCGTCTGGCCTTTCCCTCTCAGAGACGGCAGCTTCTCTCTCCGCTGACATCCCCATATCCAGCCATCAGCAAACTCTGACCCTGCCCTTGAAAACTGCCCCACACCTAGTTTCCATCCGCACCACCCAGTCTTTCGGTCACCTGGCTGACCTCTCGTGTCCTCCCTTGCCCCCTACAGGGCATTCCAGGGTTTGATTCTTAAAACAGGCTCTCATCATGTCATCCTCTGCCCCATGCTCTTCCCACCCACCTTTAGGATATTGCCCAGAGCTCTCCCCGGGGCTCGAGGCCCTCCCTGAGCCGACCCCTCCCGTCACCGCCCCTCACCCCATGTCCCCTCTTGCCCTCGGGGCTGCAGCCTGCGGCCCCCAGCAACTCCCCCAACACCCCAGGCCTGCTGGGCAGCAAGGGCTCTGCGGCGCTGTGTCCCCCCGCCCGGAATGCCCTGCACCCAGGCCTCCCCAGGCTGGTTTTCCTCCCCCTCCCCCCCACTCCTGCTGGGTTCCCCACCCCGAGTCTGTCTCCCTGTCTCCCGATGCTTGCTCTCCCCCTAAAGCCTTGCAACGGGGTGTCTGCCATTCACCCGCCTTCATCCACACCTCTACAGCTTTAGGAGTTCAGGTGAACTTTGAACTTTTTTGTCGTTGTTTGAGAGACGTGATCTTCTTTAAATGTACTTTTTAATTAAATGCAACCTTGACAGCTTCCCCCTACTCAGCTTTCCAGTGATTAAGGGTCATGGGAGAGGGAGATTGACGAGGATTAGGTGCCGTTTCCCAGGTCTGGATGCTGTATTCCTGTCACTGCTAAAGCGTCGGCCTCGCTGCTGCGGAAGCTGCCCTGTGCCCATTTGTTGCTGACCTCTGCAGAAAGCCTCTTTTGATTCAAAGCCTTCACCTCCAGCCACCTAAAACCAGCCTGGGAAATGTTTGGGTGGAAAACTACAGTGAAGTCTCCATTAAGGAAATGCTTGGGGGAAGGAGCATTCTAGTCAATTTAATTCTTGTTAAGTGAGCACCACCAGAGTTTTTATGGGGAGCAAGGCATCCTATGAAAGGAAATTGACAAATTTTGGATGGAGACTTTATTTAAGCTCTTTCTCTGCCATTTGAAGTCACGTGACTCTGGGCCTCCATTTTCTCATCCATAAAAGGGGGGCCAATGATAGCTCTCTTATTGTCGTGTCATTAGATTAAATGGGGAAGCGTTCGCAAGTCATTTATCGATAGGCTTGGTGGCTACACGGGAGCTTGGTAAAGTGTGTTCCCTTCCCTCTTCCCTTTGTTTTCTCTCTTCTCAGAAATAATTCTTAATACATTGGCATATAGCATTTTAAAAATCTTGTGTTAATATAGAGCATAGAAGGAGAGGGTAATATTCCTGGTGGAGGTAGCAGTGACTCATTATTGTGGAATATTTATGAAAAAATAACCAATCATTAAGGATTTTGAGTGCTTTTGTATCTCAGACACTGTGGAATAGCAGAAATAAAGAGGTCATTTTATTCTTTTTGAAATGCCTAGGTATTCTTTGTATCTCTCTTCTAAAAATTGAATGTGGGGGAAAAAATTGGTGGGTAAGTCAGCATGGCAGGTTCAAAATGGCAGATAAAGCACCCCTATTACCGCCTCTCACTTAAAAAAGAAGTAAAAACCGTCTAAAAAGCAGTAAAGGAGTAAGAGACTGAGGAGCACAGTGACACAAAGAAAGCGACAAGAACAACTCGCAGATGGGGGGTGAAACCGTTTCTGGAGAGCTGCTCTTGGATGGCGGAATGGCGGCCCCGGGGACGAAGGGAGTGGGCTGGGCTCTGGAGGCGCTGATCATGACTTGGAGCTGGAGACAGAAGGAAGAGGGAAGAGTTTGTCTCTGCAACAATCCACTTCCTGCCCTGCTACCGTATGCAGAATAGTCAGCAGCTAAACAGGACAGACACATGGACACCTACTAAGGTTCTCCCCCACCGAGGACGAATGGCCCAGAGGGAATAGCTCTGCACTCTGGGACCTAGGGTCTCTGCAGAGTAGTCGTGACTCGGGGGTCATCCATGTGCCCATGCAGATTCAACTGAAATTTAAGTTCTTTAGAAGAAGAGAGTGCTCCAGCCTCGTGTGCTGTGCTGAGCACGGTCTCTACTGTTGGGAGATCTGCGTTCTGGGCGCATGGGTGAAATTGTACTGGCAGGTTGTGTCAGCAGTTTCAACAGCACATGCGCGGCTTTGCTCTGATCTTGCTGTGGGGGCTCCCAGGAGTCAAGGTCACCTCACCACCAGGATCACAAATACTACACTGAGGAACGCACCTCTTACCCTGCTTCTCCAAAAGTGTCCTGTGCCCCAAATCAAACCCAAGGAGTCACTGGACTTGTCCAGCCGAGCCCGCAGGTGAGGCACGTGGCACAGCGTGTTGGCGCGTGCGAAAGTGAGTTACAGAAATACCGCTGCTCAGTCTGTCGGTGGGGCCGGAACCCTTGACAGAGCGGCACTGCCCTGTCCCACTCGCCCCCGAGGGGCCATAAGCTGGGCCCTGGCGCTTCCCGCTGTCGCACGCACCGTGTCCTGGGGTCAGCGTGCCGTCGAGGCCGACCAGCCAGGGGCCTGTCCTCCCCGGGCAGTGACAAGTGCTGATCACAGGTTTCCTTCTCTGCCACCGTGGCTGAGCGGTGATTAATGCCAAATTAGCACCTTGCTCAGTGACCTTTTAGCATTCACTGCTGCTCTCCTTCACTTCACATAACTATTTGCAAATATTCGCTTCTCAGGTCATTTCTCCTCATCAGCAACTTTCACAGATGACAGGCAGGTTGTTAATCTGATTGGCAGTCAGCTTCTGTCCTTTGCCCCATCATGAAAGTGTCTCTGCTCCGGCATCTCAGAAATCCCATAAGCAGCCCAGCGGCCTCTACGATGTTCCAAGCGGAGAGCCTCAGAAGGAGGCTCCCACAGAGGCCCTGCCAGGCTCGCTTGGAGGGCAGAGAGGCTGGGAAGGGCTTGAAGCCACCCCTAGGAACTCGTGGAAACTGGCTTCTATCAACATCATCCATGTATAGGTTAAAAAATTAATTTGTTGGCTCTGCACACACCAAGCTTCTTTTTTCTTTTTTCTTTATTTTGTAATTCACATGAACCTTTATATCAAAAATCACATACTGCTTAAGTAGTGGAGGCGGAACACAGACAAGGCCAGTCCTTGTTCTCCCTGCCGTGTAGCCAGGCAGACAGGCGAGAGTCAGCGCAGAGTTGTCCCCAGCGCTGGGGATGGGGGCCTGGCGCTCCAGCATCATGTACTAGACGAATCATTTCTCATTTGCAGAATCTAAATTTATTTTTATTTCCAGTCTCTGCCTTCTCCACTCTCTATCTAAATCCCTGTTCTAGAAATGTTGGATCCGTCTTCATTTCCCCTAAATAAACAGCAGTGAAGTGTCCTGTGGGTAGTTTAGTTTTGATATTACATGTATTTTAGAGAAAAGTGGCAAATACGTGTCATATTTTTTTTCTCCCTTGTCACCAGAAGTACGAGCTAAATTATTTGTAGTTTGATACTCAAAAATAGGTGGATTCAGGATTATTTACTTTTCAGAGAAGAAAAAGGGATTGAAAGTACACGGACAGAACAGACCACTTTGTTGACTGAATATGTTTGCTCTGGGGAGTCACATTTGGGCCCAAGTGAGAACGCCAGTCCCTTTCTAACACCACACGTGCCCGGCAGAGTGCCTGATGCGTGGAATATTTGTGGAATTGAGCAGACTTGAAAAGAGTGGGTGGACTAGATAACTCAATAAGCAGAGTCTTAAGTCAATAAAAAAATAAAGTCAACAAACATTTTGGAAAATGCTCAACACTTTAAAGCCCTTATCCACATGATGTCCAGGCGGCGATATAAGGCCCTGGGTCCCTTGATTTCCAGCCATCCAACTGGCTATGGATTCCACCCCAGGCTCCTACGGTCTGATGAAGGCCAGTGACAGTGAGCACGCCCAAGGGCTCCCCGCAAGGGGTTGGGGTGGGGTTGTGCCATTCGGGTGTCCTATCGGGGTGGCTTGATAAGATCCCCTGTTTGTTATGTTCCAGTCTTCCCATCTTCCATACTTAGGAGAGTCCCGTGGACTTTTGCTTTCTCTGCCACAGGAGATGTTGGCACCCCCGAAACCATGGCACCCGTCATTGTGATTCCTCCGGGCAACAGAAGTGTGGTGGCTGGGTCCAGTGAGATCACCTTGGAGTGCATCGCCAACGCCAGGTACGCAGCTGGTCCTGCCCTGGGGATACGAATCCATGCTAACTGTGATGAGATGGACCTTCAGTGGAAAGACACATCACACATGTGCTTGCTCTTCTAGCAGTGGTGGTCTTGTTTGTGCAGCTGGGCTACACGCACGACACGCATGGGAAGATAGGGACCTGACCCCCCAAGCCTGGGACCCGCAGGGCTTACGTTGAACATACTGTGGGTGCTGGTGGAGGGCGTCCGCTGAGAGTCCAGCTGAGGATGGGGCGGTTCAGTCCTCTGGGTGCAAAGGAAAGAGTTCGTCCCTCTTCTCCTCTGCGGTGCTAGGTGTCCTGGCCTAGTTAGTGGTTGCTCCAGAATTCAGTTCCTGCGATCTCACCTCCCAAGTAGCCAGGTCCTCTAGTAGTATTTATTTTAAACATTCTTTTCCTGAGCAAATGGAATCATTAGCACTTATGGTCCATTGCTGCTGCAATTAGCTATCCTTGCTCAATAGCCCTTGAGCAGAATGTATTGTTGATGCGTGCCGGAAGGGAGTCGAGCTGTATCTGGATTGATTTTTAAATGTCCGTTGTTCACCCCGCCATGGTTCCTGGTGGAATTAGCTTTGTCAAGCTTGTGCTGAATGCCTGAAATTATTAGTGTTGCCATCCTCATGACTCACCATTGTTGTCGCTCATGCCCTGCATCCTCCCAGGCCTGTCGAAGAGCTGCACGTGAACTGGAAGAGGAACGGGGTGAGGATCGCCGGAGGGCTGCACAGCTTTGGGAGGCGCCTCACCATTGGCAACCCGACGTCCGCGGACACCGGGATGTACGTCTGTGAGGCGACGCTGAGAGGGAGTTCTTTCGACGCAGCCACAGCGAAAGCCTTTCTGTCTATCACAGGTAACGCTGGCGGCAGAGGCTCGGCCTCCTTGCGGCGCGGCCCCTCACAGCACTGCCTTGGAAGCAGCCCAGAATCAGCCATGTCTCACCGGCTCCCTTTCTAACTCAGAAAATGAGGGCGACGCAGAGACTACCTTCCAAATTCGCCCTGTTCTTTTTCCACGAACATAAGCCCACTGAACGCAAAGCGCTGATGTTCTGAGTACTTCCAACAAGTGTTATTCTGGATCCTTCCGATCACAGAGCTTGGGAAGTGGCGTGGTGAGGCCCTTGGCACATGCGTCACCCTCTTGTGCTGGCCTCTCTGCCACTAAGCTTCTCTGTAGCCCTCGCTGGGCTATTATGGTCAGTTTTCAGAGATTATCCTATTACTGGTGTTTTCTGACCCAGAAAAAAGAAGCTTTGGGATATTACCTTCTGTTAAATTAAAAGGTGAGAACAGAGCTGCTTCCTAGGATGTGCGCCAAGGGTCACTCCTAAGCCAAGAAGAGCAAGAAGATAGAATTCAGCACGCAGGAGTCGCTTTAGATGCTGGAAAGCGTCAGTGTTGAGGGCGTGTGTGTTGTTCGGTGGCTAAGGGAATCCTCTGTGTATTTTCGGATTATGGTAAGATCACGTTACGTTGTGAAGCAAGTGCCTTTATTTCTCATGTTTCTTCGGCTTCTGTAATACTTTGTCTTCCTGCGTGGCCGTGGTCACTACGGCCGGAGCCGTCCAGCAGGATGGGGGCCACAGCAGGTGAGAGGGGCCGGGGCGGCTGGGCCCAGGCAGGAGAGTCTCTCTCTCCGGGAGGAAGGGAATGAGAACGAGAAGTGTCAGACCAGCAGAGAGCCCTGGGGGGCTGTGGCCCCCACGTGACGTATGTTGCAGTTTGCCACTTTGCAGACTAAGAAAGAGTAAAAGCTTGTGTTTTCGTATGAAATTAGCAAGAGTATCAAGAAATGCTGCCTAGAAGGCAGTTTGCCTTGAGCGTGTCGCATTCCTTTCCGTCATGAAGAAATGGTTCTGTGGCCTGAAAACCACCTGGCTGAACACACGCAAACCTGTCAGTCCCTCCGAATGGAGCATGATGATTCTTAAAGTATCGGGAAGGCAGGCCTGAGTCGCACGGCGCTGCGAACTCCTAGTCGGGGACTGAACCACTTCTCTGGCTGCCTCTCTCCTTGTGCTTCCACCGGAGGGAAACACCACCGTCCCACACCCCATGAGGACTTTCTCCTGAGGGTCCTTCCTTCACGATGTGAGCATAGCACCTTATAGATGAAACCAGAATTAACATTTGGGGTGTGTCCGTCTCCAGAAGACAGGACTGTATTGTGTTAAAACATCTCCAAGTGATTTAAACAAGAGGAGAAATTTATCTTCCTGTAAACTGGAATGTTTGTGTCCATCATAATTCCTTTTAGAAATATTTAAATGTATCCTATGAACTTTGGTTTTGCGTTGACAGCTGAATTCCAGAGGAGACTGTTGGCTGCTCTGTGTTCCAGCTTTGAAGGCTTTGAAAGGGACACAACTCTGCGTCCTTGTGATGTTGGTTTACACTCCCTTTTATTCACCAGAATGTGCTGTGACAGGGAGGATTTTGTGAAGGCATCGTCCTGGGAAAGCCCTGAGGGTGCCTCTGTGAATCCAGAGTGGTTGGGAGATGTCGGCCCCAGGCCCAGCCACCTGGGGGCGGGGGGGCGGTCCCCGGGGTGCCGTGGGGCCAGCAGGCGTCCAGAGCAGGCGGGTGCAGGAAGGCGGAATCGCGCTGGCTCTCAGGGACTCTCACCTCGGCTCACGAGACAAGACAGGGCCGTGGTGGCTGTCAATTCTGCTGGTGTGTTGCCTGGTTTCCCAGGTTTACACGGGAGTACAGGCCGCACCACCCCTGCCCTACGTCCTGGTGGCCTCCCGGGGCCGTGCTCCTGGCACCTGGCCTCTGCTCCGCCCTTTCTCCTGAGCTGCCCCCCACGGGCTCCCGACAGCTCCCCACTACCCCCCCGCAGGCTGAGGCAGACGCCGCAGCCCCCCCGCCCGCAACTGCTCGCACCACCGCTCCTTCCTGGCGGCCTTCCCTGGCCACTGGAGCCGCGGTGCCCGCCCTGCGGCCCGCTGGAAGTGCGGGGTCTGAGGGACAGTGGATAAATAGCTGAGCACCCTCCCTGCCGTGGTGGGGATGTGACCTGGACATCCTGGCTGCCCGGGTCCCCAACGGATGAGCTGACTCGGTCACGTGCTCATTTCAGCTGACCTCCCTCTGCTGGTGGCGTTTCCAGCCCCTCCCCGATCAACCGTGGGCCACCGGGCTGGGCTGTGGGGACGGGGCTCAGACTCCCTCGGCACCACTCACGGGCTCGAACACGTCCCTTAGCCGCTGCTGGCTTCGGTTCCCACATCTGTAAACCGTAGACGAGGTAGGAAGTGATACGGGTGCTGGTCACAGACGCCCGAAAGCAGCGGTTTTATGCGTCGTGGTAGAGCACGGCTATCCCACGTGCGGCGTTGTTGAAGTTGTTTAGCGACACACACTTCACGGTCCCTGAAATCAGGGTGTGTCTCACAATCCCTGGAAGCAGTTTGTCTTTCTTGGGGATAAATACAGCGACGCTGCCTCTTACCCACAGCTGCAGTGTCCCAGATTCAGTGAGACAGAGCATGTACATCCTCCTGTCCACACTGACAGACCAACACTGGCTCCCGGCACTGCCGTTCCCACGCTTCCCGGCTTCCGGGAGGGCCCATGTCCCTGCACGCCAGGCCCCCCGCACTCAGACACACATCGGGGGAGGGGCTACTGTCCACAGCCGTCTCTGTGCATCTCGGTCTGCTCTGGTTTGCAGACACAGGCCATTCAGGAATTCCAAAATCGCATCATTAAAATCACAGATTACTTGTACCCTCTCCTGGCTGATGCCAATGCCACAATCAAGGAGTTACAGCTGTACTGGAAGGTTCTCTAGAGCTGAGACCGAGCTGCTCTTCAGTGCTTGAATCCCAACATAAAATGCTTCCTCCCCTCTCCTCCCCTCCTGCTCTTCCTTCCTTTCCTCCGCTTAACATTTCTTGAGTCTACATCTTGGACACCGGCTGGGCATTGGTGACAGTGGCTCGAAAAAGTAGCCATGGCCCCCAGCATCCAGGAGCCCTGTGTGGAAGGCAGACCCTCACAAGGCAGTTACGACTCAGCGTAGCACACACGCGAGGACGGCGGGAAGGGGCGCCTGACCTCACGCAGCAGGTGCCAGGGCCAGAGGCTCTCTTGCCGTTCAGCCAGGATGGAGCCCTGCGGCGGGTCTTGTAACCCATTCATGCTGGTTTAGGATGAGCTCAAGATGTCTTCTTTCTGGTTTTACATATGGCTGACGTTGGAAACACCCACAATAATCATCGGTGCCCTGTGACACCTGGAACTTACCTGTACAACAGGTCATTACCAAGTAAAGCTCAGAAAATAGAGGTGTTACAGAACTGTTTTTAAAACAAGAGGGAAACTTGTACGAGGCAAACACCAGTGGCGCTTGGATCATTTGCTGAATGCAGGATGGGCAGGCCGGCTGTGATACCCCAGGATGGAGCGGGGTTCAGGAGGCAGGGAGCTGCAAGCGTGCTCTTTCGGGATCCCTGGCCATCTCTGCCCCCCGCCCCTGCTGATCTGCCGACCATTTGTGGAGCACAGTGTGTGCAGAACCCTCCTGAAGGGCCAGCGTGGGCAGAGGATGAAGAAGGAGGATTTGCAAAGATGAATGGGAGGCACCTGCTCCCCTGAAGGCCTTCAAGGATGTGAGGTCTTTGGTAATCTCCTGTATTTCTCCGTCCATCGGATGGTTTTTAAGTGTCTCCTCAGAAGCTGTGACAGGCATACCAGCACAGAGATGGGGAGGACACGGTTCTCCTCCGAGGAAGGTCCCATGTGGAGGGGGCCCTGCCTGAGGAGGTCAGGGGGAGCTCTGCAGAAGAAGGGCACCAGGGCCGATCTTGAAGAGCGCCTCGGGGTCTGTCAGCCAGCCAGGCCTTCTCGTGCTGCGGGCTCTGAACTCCCTTCTCGGTCTCCCCGTCCAGCGGCAGGGAGGTTGCTGCTTTTAGGGGCTCCAGGGGTGGGACTGGGCCCAGCCAGCTAATCCAAGTTCACCTCTCCATTTCGAGACTGACAGCCTTAACCACCCCTGCAGAGGCCATCTTGCCACGTAGCGCAACTTGCTCCCAGGTCCCGGTGACTAGGGGTGGACCCCTTGGGGCCATTCTTCCCACCACAGTGGACAGAGGCACCACGTGTGGATGATGGTGGCCAGTCAAGGACACGCCCTGGCATGATATGGTCTTTCTGGAGCAGAAGGGAAGACAGGACAGGGAACATCCTTGGGTCTCTTGGTAAGTCCTACTCAGGACAGGCCCTGCCACTCAGATGTGGGGACTTTGGCCGGAGAATATGAAGAATCCTTGGGACGCATGGACCGTCTGCCGTAGCTGCCTCCACGAGGCCAGAATGAGCACTGTACGGCCATGGCGTTTCGGGGGGTGGGGGGCGGTTTGATAGAGGCCTTGGACATAGGCTGCCTGGGAGGCATCCCACCTCCTGTTCTGAGGCCTGGGCAGTGAAGGACGATCGGCGTGGCTGGCCGTTTCTCAACAAGGGATGGGGACCTTTTCCGGATGTCTTCATATTGTTCCAAGAGAGATGAAAGTGTTTGTTTCAATCCCCAGTTTCACGGGCTGCAGCTGTGATACATTTTTAAAAGTCCAGTGTGCACCAGTGTTGGCACTGTGCCCTTTCTAGAAAGGTCACTGCCAATGAGCTAAGATGCGCACTTGCCCCTCAGAGGTTAAGTGGTTCAAGAGTCTGTGCACAAGAGAACTAATTCACAACAAACTCACTACTCACCGCACAGCCCTCGCGTTGTGGACATACCTGGTGTGCGTCCACTTTTGTCCTTAGAGCTGACTATGTGTAAACGTAGCTGGGGGTCAAGAGAAGAAATCTTCCAAGCACCTGTTGAGTTATGTTGACAGGAAGGGTCAGCCATGAGTGAAATCGTGATACATACATAGTGGGGAAAAGAAATACGATTACTGTCAAAAGCTACAGGGCCTTTCAGGGTCTTGGCAGCTACTCACCCACTCTGCTTCGCTCAGCCACCTGGAAAAGTTTCAGGAACAAGGCAGGAGTATCAGTAAATGAACAAACATGCTCGGCCTGTGCTGTTCCTGGCCTTCCTAGTTGTCAGCTAGGCAAGCCTCCCTGGTTATTGGCTCCAGAGGAGAGAGACGGCACTCGGCAACATTGGCAGGATGCCCTTCCAGCCTGTGCCCGAGGAGCCTCGAGGCTGTGCGTTTGGTGCTGTGGAGTCTGTGTGGCAGGTGCTTTTGTGCCAGGCTCCCATGGTAACTGTCTGCGGTAGGCAATGGTGGTGTTCGCAGATGAGTGGCCCCGGCCAGGCCTCTAATGCCCCCCAGCCCCGGAGCCATGCCTCTGCTCAGCTCGAGCCAGCTTCGGGCCACGGTGTGACGAGCACCCGTTGTCTCTGACCCTGGGCTAGGTCCTCCCCTGGCCCTGGGGGGAAGCTGAGTGGCACTGCAGAGTGAGGAGGAGCAGAATCAGGATGCTGGCCGTGGCGCCCCATGCCTGGGGGAAGGCCGTCTGGTCCTGTAGATGTTGACCATTTCTACGTGCGGGTTTCTGTTATCAAAGTGTACTTCCTCTGGGATGAATCCCGAGGGACTTGGGCCAAGTGAAAAAAGCCAATTTCGAAGGTTACACACTGTGATTCCATTCCTGTATCATTCTTGAAATGACAGAATTACAGATGGAGAACAGATGAGTGGTTGCCAGAGGTGAGGGATGGGACGTTGGGGTGGCCATGGTGCTAAAAGAGCAGCTTGTGGGACCCTTGGGTGACGACCCCTTCTGCCTCTTGACTGTGGGCACACAGGCCCGCTCACTGGTGACGTCGCCTAGGGCTAAGCCCGCACACATGCATGCGTGTGTGCACACATACAAGCTAGACCGCAGAGGGGAAAGCAGGGTAGGTCAGTGTCTCAGGTGTGATGTTGGACTGTGGTTTTGCAAGACGTCACCATTGGGGGAAACTGAAGGAAGCCTCGGATCTCTATTATTTCTTACAACCACATGGGGCTCTGCAATTATCTCAAAATAAAATGTTTAATTTAAAAAAGGAGAACCGTAATTAATCATGGGCAAATGTTGACTCTGTCACTTAGTCTTTTTTTTTTTTTCTTTTCCCTCACGTCCCTTTCATCGGACCACGGAGGTAGATATCGACTTTAGCATTCACTGATGAATATGGGGCATGACCCGCACACGAGGGCCGTGACAGGATGCAGCTCCTGGATAGTTGGAATATAGATTTCGCTGTTGTCATGATTATTGATGAAGGAAATGTGGCTGAATATGAACATGTGGGTGTGCAGCGAAGACCAGCTTGAAAAGATACCGTGAATCTTTGCGCTGTGTCTTTCCACCCAGTCTACACACACCCAAAATCCAGTAGAGACCTCTGCATCCACCTGGCAAGAGTGCAGCCCTGGCCTCAGTCAGATGGCGTGCACCCAAGTGACCCAGGTCATTGCAGAAGGGGTGCCGAACTCCCATCTCCACAGAGAAACCTTCAGCCTTTTCTTAAGTGCTCATGTCTTCTTTCCCTTTTGTGGGTTGCACCCCGTTTTAAAGACCCAGGCGGTGCAGGAGGCATGCCAAGCCACACTACTCACATCCCACACCCCACACCCCACACGGCGACAGTGGAAATCAGCCACGTGGGAAGACAGTGCCCAGAAATTAATTATCACACCGAAAGTGAATACAACAGCCTTTTGTTATTGCAATAATGAAATCACTAGCACCTTCGTACCGGATGAATCTGGCAATGCCACTGTTGAAGATCTGCTGAATAAACTGAGAAAGGTATTGCAATTTACTCTCCAAGAGGATTCACTGTTTAATACCCCACTATGTTTTTGTTGAATAGGCAAGGGGAGTAGCTAGAGATACACAAGTGGGCGAGTTTCCTCTGCTCCTAAAGATGGACGAGGGGCCCTTTTTCTTTTTTCTCTTGGCTATTATTTAGCCTTCCGTTGAAGTATTAAATCTATGTTTTGGAGAAGAAGAACCGCTAAGACTTTAAAAAATACGTTAATGGGACACCCCGTTCCCTGACACAGGCCCCATGCCCGGCTGTGGTGCTTTATTTGACATGCTGCGCGCATGGGGGTTTGGTTTAGATACTGAAACAAACTAGTCTATAAAACACTGTGCTGTAAATACAAATCTTTATGAACCTCTCGGGATAGTCCTTCTAAAACGTGCATTAAGATATTCCTTGATTCAAGCCTGTAAACGGAAAAGTAGCTATCACCCTGAGTAGTAATTTGCTTTCCGAAACCTTAGAATATAAACTGCCTCTGGCCTCCGCTCACTGAATTCTGAGTTTGTGTGTACAATGGTGACTAATGAACTTTCCAGAAATAGTTTTTAAAAGGAGTTCAAACTCTTTCAGGCTAGATGGGTCTCCTGAAATACACCTCTTTTGCTTAGGGGCTATTTTGTTCTTTTCTTGTTTAAAGAGCCACCGTATTTTACTGCTGAGCCCGAGAGTCGGATCTTAGCAGAAGTGGACGATACCGTGGACATCGTGTGTCGAGCAATGGGTGAGTGTGGGGAGGCTGCTCCTCAGGCCGCCGTGAGGTGGAGGGACCAGAGGGGCGCTTCCGTTGCTACCAGGACACACGCTGAATGTGATGTTGGTGACAGGGCCTTTGGATCCTAGCAGAACTCAGTGACTGGGCATGTGACCTTGAGGAAGGTGATCTTGACCTTACTGAACTGTTGCTTCCTCGCCTGCAGAGCAGAGATAAGAATATTCACCCAAGGGAACGACAAGGAGTCCTCTACCCCATCTGAACCCACGGAGAGGGACAGTCGTCCTCTCGACCCCCTTTCAAACGCTCTGGTTCCACCAAGGCTTAGGGCAGGAGATGCTTTCCCGTCCATGGGGTGATTGGGGCTGGTGACCACGTGCACTCCGGAGCAAGAGAGATGGTTTTAAATTCTTTGAACAGGAAACCTTCCCTTTTTTTTTTTTTTTTCCTCTTTTGCCTTTTCGGCTTCAGGTTGACTTTTTCTTTGTTATTTCAATAAGCTCACCCCTCCCCGCCTTGCCTTGATGATGAGCTGTCCACTGTCAGGCAGCACAAATAATTATAGGAACCCCTCTCACAGAGACAGGCTTTTTAAAGGCAATTTCATTAACAAAGGCTGTGTTAGTGCGCTAGAGACTGTCAGTGAAAAGGACTTTTTTTTTATGTTTAAACCCGTCCATCTTAAGGGTGGGTATTTTATTCTAAGAGCTTGGAGGGTAAGGATTACTAGCAATTTTGTAAATCTTCAAAACAGCCCCATAAAAGAGATATTATCTCAGAGTACACATACAAAAACAAGACCTTAGAAAGCAAGATTAAGTAATGTGCTCAAGGCACAGAGCCAGGGAGAGGAGATGAGATACCTCTAAAATCACAGCCCGGTGTCTGGCATGTAGGAGCTGCTCATTAAAGACTAGACAACCCGCCAGGGGTTGCATGGCAATGGAGACAAGATCCAAACCCAGACATATCAGCTCCCAAAGCAAGGGTTTTGGCCGGGGCACCTGGCTTCTCCCAGAGAGCCGAGGGCCTAGGCTTAGAACTCATGCCAGCAGTCCACAGGTATGGGCGTGTCCTCTTCTGTTTCTGAAAGGGAGTGGGGGTGCCCTCTGAGCAGTGCCGATGGCCCCTGTAGAGATCGGGGTCTGCCTTGGGCACCCTCCTGTACCCACTATGCTTCTGCCCAAAGTGTGTATCCTGGGGGGCTCAGTCCCCAGCCCCTGGGCCGCCCACGGGTGCTGTTGGCACATCTGCTCTGCAGCATCCTTCTCTGTTCAGGATCCTGGGGAGTGGTGGGGGGAGAGTGATATGAACTTTACATGGAAATGTCCCCCTCGCGGTGGGTCACGTTGCTCTCTTCCTGGTATAGACACCGTTTTCTAAGGTCAGTGCTGGTCTGGAAGTGAAACTCCGCTGTATTTCGAGTGCTCAGATTTTAGAAACCAGCATCTGCAGTTCTGCTGGGGGTAAGATTTCTGTTTATGAAACTAAATCACCTCAAAATAGAAAGACTCCCAGTTCCCTGTATACTATCAGTTATTTTTCGATAAATGACAATCTTAAGCTCTTCCCTTGACAAGAGAATGCTCTTTTTTGCATTTCTACAGGGTAAACTGCTTGTTAAATACAGACGTGTAAATATATACTGAGCAGGCCTTTCAACGTTGCCATCAGATAATTTACTGCTTTCTTTTAATTTTGACAGTGAAACTATAGCAGCATGCGAAGTGGTTACTCTTCATGAAAGCTACATCATGTAATTTGCTCTTATGAGATTTTACATGAATTGGTTATGCTTTTACCTTGAAATGGATTTTTTTAATTTCCCAATTTAATGAAAAGTGACAGGAAACATAATTAAGGCAAAGAACAGAATCTGAGAATACATTATCTTGAAATATTCTATGACATTAACTTTATTTATTGAAGAAGACATCTTACACCTACATAGCATCTGAAATCAAGGGATTTGGGTGTGCTTTTCACCATGAATCCTGTCGAGATGTGTTTTATTTAAATTAATTTCATAGGTAGGGAAACCGAGGTACGGAACAAGCCTAGACATTCCCGCAGGTCTCTGTGGGCCCACAACAAGCATACACGCACCCGCCATGGCTCAGGACCTCATTGTCTCGTGTGCTTTGGTGGAGTTTCTATGCACAGACTGTCATGTCTACCCAGTTTTCCCCTCTTTGTTGGCTTAGAAGGGTCAGAGACCTGCCAAGGAAGAAGTGTCCCCTACCGCTAGTCACGAAAGCCTCCCAGGGGAGCTGCCCAGGGAAGGAGCCTGTCATCTCCCCGGTCAGGGCTCGACCCAGGCAGTAAGGCACCAGGGGAATAGCGCCTGCCTCAGCATCGCCGGGGCTCCACGTGCTGAGCACAGCCATGTGGGGGCCGAGCAGCAGAGGTCCTCACGCTCTCAGGCTGAGGATAGTCCATTCACAACCTGGGTTCTGCCCCTGTGAGCTGGTCCTTTGTCCCCTGCATCTTCCCTCCCAAACCCAGCCTCACCCTCCATCAGCTGCTCCCACTGACTGAGGCCTGAGTTTTCACTATAATGTCATTAGGATGAGGAAGGCGTACCCAGCCTTAGCCTGACCCTCCATCTTCCTGGTCCAAGTGCTGGCCTTGCTCTAGTGCCATCAGCTCCTAAGGACAAGGAGGGCACCATCCGGCAGCCCCTGCTCGTCACCTGCTGGACTCCCATTTTTCTTTTCCCACGTCCACAGTTGAACGCCCCTCATGTCTCCTCAGCCTCACCCACATGCATCGCGGGTGCTTACTCAACCACAGCCATCCTCCACTGTGTTGGACGTCCGCTTAGATCACTGATGTCCAGCCCCTTCGGCAGGGGGCAGCTGCAAAGATGGGACGCCTTCTTCTTGTGGTTGTAATCGTAGTCATTCTAGCCAGTGAGCGCTGGCCGTGTGCCAGGCACTGGGAGATTTGTGGGCGCTGATGTGGTTAATCTTCCCAATAGCATTTCAAGGTTGCAGTGACCACTTCCTTCCAAATGTGTCTCCTGCCCTGGTGGCCCTGTCCCGAGCCTCAGTGTCAGAGTCAGGTACTGCAGGGCTGCAGGGACCTTCCTCCCCATCCCTGTCTGTCCCCAGGTTGGTCACGGTCACGGCTGGGATCCCTTTCTCCCCAGACCAGAGCACAAGCGTGTGCCGGCTCGGGGGTCCAGAACGATCTGCAGCCCAGTGTCAGGAGTTCATTCCTGCTCTCCCTCTTGCTGCTTCTCTGTGTCCATGTCTTCATAGAGATGAGAAAAATAATACCGTACGGGGTGGATGAAGGGACTCCTCGACGAAAAATGCCACTGAAGTATTGCCTCGTAGCCTCTGAGACATGTTTGCCTCAGCCTGCACAGAAAGTGCTCGCAATTTAATTTTTTCAAATGCCCAATTATTTCCACTCCCACACAGGGGTCCCTCTTCCCACCCTCCAGTGGTACAAGGACGCCGTCTCCATCAGCAAGCTCCAGAATCCTCGATACAAGATGCTTTCAGGCGGAGGCCTGCGCATCCAGAAGCTGCGTCCCGAGGACTCCGGGATCTTCCAGTGCTTTGCCAGTAATGAAGGAGGGGAGATCCAGACCTACACCTACCTGGACGTGACCAGTGAGTGCTGCCCCTCAGAGCCAGACCTCCTAGGCTGGGCCCTCGGCCAGAGCTTCGCACCCTTTATGTGTGTGACACACTCAGAAAATGGTAGCATCTGTTCAGCAAACAGACAGGGCACAGGGGTCCGCAGTGACGCATTGCAGAGAGCCACCTCTCTGGCCGACAGGAACCCACGTGCTAAGCCCCTGGGCAGCAAATATGCCCCGTTGTCCCCACGCCCTGGCGCCCCACCTGCTCTCAGGCGAGCCTCGCGCCCTCCTCTCTACTGAGAAGCAGGGGGGAGAAAAATCTCCATTTTTCTGGACAGAACTGGAAGGACTGTTCAGTGAATAGCTCGTACCTAATCTTTTTCTTTTGATCTTTTTCCCGTTTTTTAATATTCATTTTCTATTTTAGTTTTTTTGAACAATTATAGTTCTTCTGTAAGTTTCTTTTATTATCCCATTAGCAGAAATACTTTGGCACTCTGTCTTTGAAAAATAAAATGAAGGTACAGGTTTCCACTGCATCTGTCGGTTTTGTTTTTCATCCCCACAGTTGTAGTATTGTTCTTCTAAAATGAAGTAGAATTTAGTGATTCTGGAATTACACCTTTCATGTTTGCCCTTTTGGAAGCCAAATGCTGATATCCTCAGGTGTGAGAGCCGTTTGAGAAAGCAAATCATGTCCATAGGCCAATGGCTCTCATCTGCCCGAACTTATAAATTTAAGGATTTAATGTATTTTGGTAAAGTAGGGGTCACACCCTTGAACCTTGTGCAGGGGTCAAATTTAGCCTCTGGTTTGGAGCATACGAAACCAGTATCGCTTCAAACAGCGGGAATAATATTGGGTACTTACGCCGGAAACTGAGTTTCGATTAATTAGATTTATTTAAAGTGTATCTTACAAGTCAGCCAGGAGGCTGTGGGGCACAGATGAGCACACTTTTTTTTCAAACTTTATTTTAATTCCAGTATAGTTAACACACAGTGTTATATTAGTTCATGAATTTAACAAACATTTACACAGCATCTGTGTCAGGCACTGGGGTCTGTCAGGCTTGGGGACAGAGCTCTGAGGAAGACATGCGAGGTTCTCGTGCCTCCAGGACAGAGGTCGTGAAGTTGGGGAGACAGACGGCAGAGGAGGGCATAATTTAGCCAGGGATGAGGGCCAGGAAACGAGTGAACAAGCAGGGCCCAGAGTGACCGGGGAGGCCTCTCGGAGGGTGGTCAGGGAGCGTTCCCTGAGATGCTACCGGAGCTGAGGCCCAAAGGTGCAAAGTCTTGGGGGATGTGGGTATTATGGGGTGAGGGAGGGGTTGCTGCAGGTGCCTTCCAGGAACAAGCTTGGGGAGGTGTGTGTGCAGGGAGCAAGGAGACAGTGGGGACGCCGTCTGGTGAGGAACCAGGGGTCATGCCAGGAGACGGGTTGGAGGGACAAGTAGGGCAAAGGCCCAGGAGCCAGTGCGAGGATTTCATGGGGTTTGGGCAGGAAGTGGCGGTGTGTCCTTCATAGCTTCCACGGGGCACCCAAGGCTGGGTGTAGAACGGCCAATGCCGGGTCTTGGGACCCGGCAGGAGGCCAATGTACTGTCCATGTGGGGGCCCCAGAGGTGGAGGGAAACAGGGGCTCTGGGATTTGCTTTGGGGGCAGCATCCACGGGACATAGGGGTTTGTGGGGATTCCCACCTAGTGCAAGGAGAGGTGGCAGCAGTGCCCTGGTCCCGAGTCCCGTCCACTTGCCCTGGGAACCCCAGCCCAGGCTCCTCAGGGACCTCACAGGATGGGGGGCATGCAGATCCCCGTTCTTTAGGGGTTTCCAGTTTAATCATTATCAGAGTAGAAAAAGTTGCATGAGTCTCACTGAGCCAGCCTGAGCTACCCCTGACTGTCTCGGTCTGATTCAGGGTCTCGGGAGCTGGAAGCCCATGCCGTCCCCCAAGGACAAGAAGACCCCCCAACACTTGGGCCCCTGACACTTCCTGGAAATCCCTCACAGACGTGCTTGAACTCGGTTATTTTGTGAAAGTGTCATCCTTTGGGTGATATTTAATATTCAAAAATCAGCTTTTTCTATTTTTTAGAAGGTGCTGAAGACGAGCTTGTTAGATTTATCTGAATAAATGTCTCCCCCTCATTAACGTTCACCTGAAACAGCCGCTTCTAGGCTCCTGCACTTGCCCACTTGTGTGTCCATTCCATCACAAGACTGGATTTCTCTTCGGGTTGTAAACACAGATAAGCAGCTCCTGGGGGACAATTAAGGGAAGGTTATAGTCACTGCTCAAAGGTTTTCCTCCTTTATTGCTACAGTTATCTCTGTGATTAGTCCCATAAAAGTGCATATGGGCCACTCCAGCAGGCAGGTCTGAGCGCATCTGAGGGGTAGCACACTGAGTATCTCACTGTTCGCTCCCCCTTAGATGTTGCACCAGCATTTACCCAGCTTCCGGTGGACACCACGGTCACCGATGGGATGATGGCCGTCCTGAGGTGCGAGGTGTCTGGAGCCCCCAAGCCTGCCATCACGTGGAGGAGAGGTAGGTGCAGTCTGGTCAACATGGGAGATGAGTGCGTCGGGCCAAGCCTTGCGGTTTTCGTTCCCACCCTCCTTGGCTCCTTCAGTAAAGACTGGCAGCTGTCTGTGGGGCACCTGCCAGGCGCCAGATGCCGGAGCTGCCAGCATGAGCTACCAGCAAGGCGACCAAGGCCCCCAGGAGCTTCCCGGAGCCTACCTCCATGGAGAGAAACAGCCGTGTTTTAAAACGTGTGACTATCCCTGTTTTCTGCCTAAGCCCTTCGTAGGGCACCTCAGGCTTGTGAAGAGGCTCCCCCAAAATACCAGGGAGTGGATTCAGAGAAGTGCCACCAGGGCCCAGTGTCCCCACTTGTGAAACGGAGGTCCTGTTACAAATTAAGAATAATATCCTTGTTCTTTTAAGAAAGAAGGGTGCCGAGGATGCGCACCTGAAACTAATAGGACGTGTGTGCCAGTGAGACTTTGATTTGCATGGAGCACTGGGTGTTATACGCAAACAATGAATCATGGAACTCTACATCAAAAACTAATGATGTAATATATGGTGATTAACATAACATAATAAAAAAAAAAAAAAAAGGCAGAGAAACCAAAGCCTGGGTTAGGCCAAGGGCCTTCTCTGTGTTCCTTAGCAGAGTGGCCAAGGATGAAGCTCACTAAAATGGGAAACGGAGACAGAAAGATGCTTCTGGCTCGTTTGACACATGGGACGCTCTTGGTGTCACCCGTTTTCAGTCCCCCTGAGGAGTGGCATCACGCCACGGGCTTTCTCTATAGTTCCATCCCTTTCCTCACGTAGGCACGTGTGTCAGTGAATGAACCGCACACATGGTCCGTCCTTAGGGAATATGTGCCGAACAGTGTGGTTCCCACCCTCAGACCATAGCTCTTCAACATGAAGGTCTGAGGAACTCCAGGCCAGTAAGCAAGAGGGTGTTCTTCTATCTTACATATACTTCCGTCTCCGGATTCAGAATGTAATGGTAGCTTTATATATAAAATCTTCCAGTGCATACAGATATAAAGGAAACTCAGAACCAGTCACCCAAAGGTAACAATTGCCTACATGGATCATAATTTGTTTAACCAAGTTTCTCAATTTTGGACAATTAAGATTTTCTTGGTCTCCGTTATCCTAAATAATGCTAAAGGGAGCTGCTTTGGTTATTGTTGTACGTACAGTTTCCACTTTATTATGATTGTTTCGAGTTATTTTCTTGGTCTTGGTGCTTACACTCCTGCTTTCTTGACTTTTCTTCAGGAAAACATATTTTGGCCAGTGGCTCCGTGCGGATTCCCAGGTTCATGCTTCTGGAGTCTGGGGGTCTACAGATTGCCCCCGTCTTCATCCAGGATGCCGGCAACTACACCTGCTACGCAGCCAACACGGAGGGGTCCCTGAACGCGTCCGCAGCGCTGACCGTGTGGAGTAAGGACCGCAGGCCATGTGGAACTTTCTGTTAATCACAGTTTAATCACCATGTCAGCTGTGCTTAGGGATGTCAATGCCCTTGGACTCTCTAATTGAATCATAAGAGAATGATTATTTTTACAACTAATTTATAGAAATCTGTTGAGTAATTAATTTTTCAGCTTCTAAAAACATAATTAGAAACTGTATTCAAAGATTTAATGGGGATGTTTCAGGAGAGAGAAAAGCGGGACTTTTTACAGTCAGTGGCATAGAGGATATTAGCCCAAACGAGCCCAAACGACAAAACCAGTAGGGCAGTGAATTTTGAAATCTTCATGTAAGGGAACTGAATCAAGAGTTAATGTTTCAGAGAAAGTATATTTTTTCTATAATATCATTATAACCAACTAAACCACTCCTAGTATTTTAAATATGAGCGTTTTTTATGTTAGGAGTGAACTGAAGAAAAATCTTTGTTATTTCTCCAACTTTTATTTCTTTATCTAGAACAGTTTTCGAAAACGGAGAACAGATTGTTTTCCAGACATAAGGATTCGTTACCAAATACCTCTGCCCCCCCCACCCCCAAACCTTTTAGCTTCACTTGCTGGCATACTTTTTCCTCTCTGCTTCACCCATAACTATATTACTAAAAATAATAATAATAAATGCATAAAAATTGTTCATAAAAGCAAAAGATCGTGCTCACTGATTTTTGTAAAGCTTATCTCTATGAAGAGAGAAAATTTCAATTTGCCTCAGTGATGAATTTGTTAAAATATTATCCTGGAAGAGAAACTGAATTATCGTGCTTTATTTCATGTCTGTTTGGCTCTCTGTGATATAGTTTGTGTCCACTTTGATCAATGACCTTACTAATTTATTAGGTATTCTAAAAACACCAGGAGTTTTAAAAAGGAATGAATTCACCCGCCCCCATATTGATTGTCAGGTACTGAAAAAGAGGTTTTGTCTCGTTTCGTGGCCCACTGTGTCCACCCACTTCCGATTGGTCATATGTCCCTAACATGTCAACCTTATATTTAATAGCTTGTGAAGAATTGATGTCTGCATCTCTGTAGGTCACTCACCAAAATTTCCGTAGATTTGCTAAGATTCAAACTATGCTCGTGTGGCCTGCCTCCCCTTCCGCAGACAGTGAAGCTCGCATGTTTTCCTGGACACTTGGCCACAAGCAGTCAGGCTGGGCGCCAACCTAGTCTTATGACTCCTGCGTTTTGGGCTCTGTTAGTGGGACCAGAGCAGCATCCACCTCAGAGGTGTGCGGGGGGGGGGGACCCCACCACAGGGCTTTTGCCGGGGCCTTGGCTGTGGCGGCTGCTGGGAGCACTAGGCCCCACCCTGACCAGCGCCCCATGTCAGGCGAGCCACCACACCTCTTGAGCTCCACCTTCTAGTCCTGAAACCTGGAAGTGGTGCTCTCACAGCCCTCCCAAGGTTGTTGTGAGCATTAAATAAAACAGTATAAATGGAAGCACTTTGCAAAGTCATGAAGTGCTGTGCAGACAGCAGAAATGACCAGAATGTTAATGATCTTGGGAAAGAACCAAGATTTTCGCTTAAGACTGCAGAACCTCATAAACCTCTGCACATGATCTTCATTCTCGATGTCTTCCCAAGGGTTTAGAGGTTTGGGAGTGGCCCTCGTGGGGAGGGCAGGCCCGAAGACCGTGGCTGCGGCCTGGGAAGGCTTGCTTTCAGTTCCCTGAGCATTTCTAAGCGCTTCCATTTATGCTTGCTTTGCCAAGATGAGAGAAACCTTGGAGGTTTTGATGTCAGATGACCAATTCCTCCCCCCTCAAAGGAGGAAACTCTGGAGCATGTAACTTTGTCTAAGCTGTGCCTTGTGTCTCCACAGATCGCACGTCCATCGTTAACCCTCCGGAGGACCGCGTGGTGATTAAGGGGACCACGGCCATGCTGCGCTGTGGAGCCACTCACGATCCCCGGATTGCCCTCCGGTCAGCTCCGTCACTTACAATGTCTGGGGCTCGTTCATATCCTGGGAGCTTAGGAACTGAAGTGGAGATGAGAAGGGAGAATTTGGGGAGCTTTGATTTCAGCCACAGATCCCTGATTACGGCATCCTCACGGTCTTGGGCTCCATCATTAATCACACAAATCCCATTTTCCACTCCAGCCTTATGTATTATTTACAGTGAGCTATGTTCCACTTCATGACTTCGGTACAGCTTTTCATGATTTTTCTGCCAAGGTTAATACACTATCTGTAAAACGTACTTGTCAGAAGCTGACACTTAATGAGAGGAAAATCCGGAGGGATCAAATAGGATTTCAGCAGTGTTTACGCTGGGCCGTGTGGTACTCGAGAAGGGTTTTCTCTGCTGTGGGATGGTTTCATTGTGAAATGGGGAGCAAGGGAGGCCCACACCCAGAAGAAAGACAACCACAGTCACCTGGTGCATATACAGGACAATACTTGTAAAGACGGGACTAGATGCCTTGAAGCTCCACTAAAGGAATCGTAATATCCTGTCTTTGTCCGAGTTCAGATGGGAAGGTAAAGATGAAATACATGACCCTCCAGGTAAATGCATGGCAGCTGACACAGGTGACCGTGGGTGGTGAGCTTCTTCCCAAAGAGCTGCCACTTTCAGAACTGTTTTTAATTTTCAGAATCCACCTGGAAAATAAATCTAGAAAGAAAGATACAGTCATCCTGGAGTTGTCTCTCTGGCCTTAGCCCAGAAGGCACGTGCTTAGCCAAATGGATAGACTCGAGATGCCTTCCTCCTTTCTGGATCATCTCACTCTGGGCAGAGGGAGGTGGTTGCTGCCACATACGTTATTAACTGGATCCCGAGACTGAGCTGCTTTCTCACTCTTCTTGGGCAGGTGTTTGGCAAATCATGAATTTCTGTGCCTCCACCTGGCTCTCTGGAGTTCCTTAGAGCTCAAAAGCCAAGTTTGGTTTAGTTATAAGAATGTCAGATGCAAAACCAACAAACAAAAACTAACGGTTCAAGATTACCTAGAGACTCCATGGAGGCCGTCTTAGAGAGAGTTGTCATGCCCAGAAAAGAACCCGTTCATCTCTAAATGGTTTGGGAGTAGGATTCCAGAGACAAAGAAGGACAGATAGGCTGGTTTTCTGCTACTCTACGAGCTCACACAGAATCCCTCTGGATCTTTGTGGGTCTCCCAGAGCTTCTTGTGTGTGATTAAACAGACAAAATTGGAGCCTCCTTCCCAAGGAGGACTTCGATTGCTCACTTTTGGGGCACCCCTTGTCCCCGGGCTTCTCTGCCCCAAGAGCACCTAAGCGCCCTAAGGGACAATCTGCAGCTGAATGTTGTATCCCCGAGTCATTTCCTTCTTGGGGGACCAGGTCTGTTCTGTCTCAGGGTAGTTTCAGATAAGCAGTTTATTAATGTCTGCTCTGTGCATATTAAACCTTTAAAGAACTGGGTATGTTTTGCAAGTCCAGGCAAATGATTTTGGAAAGGAAAGCCAGAACTTTGATCCCACCTAGCAATGAATCGTGGCCCCCTGTCCACTGACAGCCAGATGCTGGGCAGGCTCTTAATTGCTTCTACATTCGACAAGAAAAACATGCTACAATGGTCATAAAGAATTAAATGAGGAAGAAAGGCAGTTTTAAGGACAATCTGCCAGAACAGTTGGATGTTAAGAAAACACGTTTCTGGGGTATGATCTGCCTTTTTCTAGAATTTGGGTGGTTCCCCTCTGAGGAGTTTTCGGATAGTCATTGCTTCCTATCCAGTCAACACTGCCCTCCTCGAGGCGTACTCCTGGGCGGGAAGGTGAAGTAGTTTTAGGAAATGACAGGTGTGATCATGACACGACAGACTTCCCGTCTCTAAACCCAAAGACAAGATCAGTGTTCTCCGCGGTCTTCACTGGCCCGTTTTTGACTTAAGCATCTGTGGTTGTACGTGACCAAGACAGCTGGTTGCTTTTCTTTTTTCTTTCTTTTAGATATATTCACATGTCATAAAATTTACCCATTTAAAGAGCACGGTTCTGTGGCTTCTTGTCCATTCACAAGGCGGTCAGTTGCCTGTGGCCCAGATCCTAACTCTAGACTCTTGGCTGGATCTTAACTGGAGATCTTTCCTAACTCGTGACTCCCCGCTTGGCCCACAGCTACGTCTGGAAGAAGGACAACGCAGTCATCACCCCATCCAGCAGTTCCAGGGTCGTGGTGGAGAAGGACGGGTCCCTCCTCATTAGCCAGACGTGGTCGGGTGACATCGGAGACTACACCTGTGAAATCGTGTCTGAAGGAGGGAACGACTCCAGAACAGCCCGGCTGGAGGTCATGTGAGTGTTGCCACCGCGTAGCCTTAAGTGCCCCCCCCCATTATCTGCAGCAGTACGGTCAGCTGTCCCGACTCCCAAGTGACCGGCACAACAATGGGTCCCCAGCCAGCCGTCATAGGCCATGGCCTTACGCTGGGGTTTTGTTAGATCCTCGAAATTACAACTCTTCGCTCTTGGTTTAGAAAGTTTGATACTTGGTTTTCCTCTCCTCCTCTCCGTTTCCCTCATTCCCCCATTGGCACCCTATCACGGTGGGCTGTACAGACGGCCCGCAGGCTTCCTGAGTGTGTGTGGACGTGCCGGGTCTCCGTGCCCAGCCTCTGGCCACTGCACCTGCTGACGCCGGGCTCTCTCTGCACTCACCTGACCCAGGGCCTCAGCCTGCTGCTACCTCCGCGGCCGGGCCTCTGTCTTCTGCCAACCCCCTTGAAGGGCTCATGCCTCCTCCAGAGCTCAGCCACAGGGTTGCCCCTGGGTCAGGACACCAGGTGTCTCACAGCCTCCCGGCCTTTGCGTGGACCCTCTGTCAGAGCCCTGGTTGTCCCGGGTGGAAACGCCTATTTTCACCATTCCTTCCCCACTGAAGCAGATGCACCTGATGGCACGGCTTTGCATTTTGAGTGCCTGGTGGTGCTCTGGGACCCCAGAGGGGCTCGATAAATATATGTTGGTTGGGTGGATGCGCCCATGAATGGATAAATGTGTGTAGGTTACTGGCCATTGGCTGGTCCTCCTTCTGATTGGCTCTTCCCTTGAGGCTCACACACCCCGGGCTGTTCCTCCTAAGCACACAGGCTCAGATCCCACTGGGGAGATACCGGGCCCCCGGCACCCAAACCCCCATTCGGATCTGGCCCTGTATCTTTCTTCCTCCTGTCTTTCCTCCTTCTGTCATGTTGGGGATTTCTTTTTTTAATTTTGATAATATTGGAGTACATGACCAGCAAATTCACATAATCCACTGTGCTATTCACATTTTTAAAACTACCTTTGAGAACTCTTAGATCATCCATCATTGGCATCAAATAAATAAGTGTTAGCATTTCATAAAGACTCTGTCAGCAGAAGCCAAATTGCATGCTTCCAATACAGTGCATGCTTTTTATTCTGCACAATTTTTATGTTCTACTGATTTACATATCTTCCCTTCTATTTGCTTATTTGATTTCCTCTGAGTAAAATACATTTTTCAGCAAATGTTGCTGTATCTATAAAATAATAGGCTTTCTGTAATGGTAAAACACCTCATCTCTAAATATAGAAATATTTGCAGATTTGTGATTCAAACCAATTTAGGTACAACGAGTTGCAGAACTGATTTGGAAGACAGTGGTTCCTTGTGAATTGTGAGTGTAATAAACACTCCACTCTTGCAAATCTGAATGAATTGAGGAAGCTGTAGGTTACAGTGTGGTCTTTCTTTAGATCCAAATAGGTCTTAACTCTACGACATCAGTAATGACAACAGTAATGATAATAGTCATAAGTCACTATTGCAGGGCACTCGTGCTTCTCAGAGAACTTTCAAATCAAGCTTGTAACATTTCCATGATTTACTCAGATGACAAAAAAAAAAAAAGAAAAAAAATCTCATATTGCAGAAGTGACTGAGAGGTACTTACAGCTAAATAGTGTCCTTCAAAAGAGGCTGAAAGCCTGCTTCCCTTGCCTCCCCACTTGAGTTAAAAGCTACTTTGTTAAATATAGAAATTAGGGGCATCAGAAGTGGGCTTTGCAGAAGCAGACGGTTCGTTGGCTTGCTCTCGGTGTGTTTGTGGTGAGTTTCAGCACCCTCCCATGTGCCAGCCTGGCTGGATACATGTCCCCTCACCCCCAGGACGGCACTGGAGAAAGCACGGTCCTGGCAGGGCCATGGGGGCCAGCAGGTCCTCGGGAGGTGCCGCCCACCAGCCAGGCTGGACTGGACACCCCGTTCTCGCTCTTCCTGACTTTGGGCAAGCAGCCACCGTGTCTCAACCTCGGTTTTCCTGACTGCGAGCTGGACACGTCATCATGACCCTATAGGGCTGTTTTGAGGTTTGACCGAACCAGCGTTTGTAGAAGCCTGGCCTGGAACCCAGCTTTGGGTGGGTACTCAGTAAATCACAGCTCCTCTTCCTCCCTCACCATCTCGCAAGAAGGGCCGTGACTCCTTCATCAGGAGCAGCCTCCCCACACCCAGGGCCAGGAAGTTTCTCTTGTATCCTGCTTTATCTTTGACCACATTCTGTGACCCTCGGACCCACTACATATGTCTGTTTGCTGCTGAGCCCTCCATGACTGGAATGGTGCCAGGTGCATAAATGTCCCATAAATGTCAGAGTTAGCCTCGCGCCCCCCCTTATGAGGTTGAACTGGGCTTGCGTAATTGGTATCACAGAGGAGGACTAATTATGCGGGGTCTGCCTTCATCACCTTCCGAGAGGAAAGGTTCCCACAAATCCCCACGGTCCCACGTTGTGCCGTATAAATTAACCACATGCAGGTCATCATGAAATGCTGGTCACCGGTTGGTTGGCTGTGTCTTTCCCTGATGCCTTTTGCTGGTGCCTCACGGGAAGGAGCTAGTTTAGGATGACCCCATACCCCAAAGTGTCTTGCTATATTGAACACACCGGGGGGACCAGGCTCTTAGAGCTTTATGGATTGAGTAATTATTAATCATTTAAAGACCCAATTAGCTTTGCATCTTTCCTTCTGAGATCAGAGACTAATTCTTAGGAGCCTGGAGTACAGAGAAAACCTAATTGATGGAGCTGACTTGAAGATTCAGTCCCTGAGGCAGTGGGAGAGGTTTCTCTCAATAAAGCTACACCTGACAAAGCCATAATAAGGAGTGAGTGATTTAATACTGCTTCTCGAGAGTTGTCAGGCCCCCATCATCTTCATCCTCAGAGTGAAGTTGGAGAAGATGGCTTTGACTGGGTCATCATTTGTGCATTAAAGGGTCAACGCTTCCACCTAGAAAAATACCCAGCTGACCCTCTTCCGTGCAGCAAGTGCCCCCATGGCCACAATTTTGCCAATTGCTTCGAATCTTTTTCAAAGCTGTTTTTCCCAAATACACTTGGCTTAATTTCCTTCCCATACAGTCTTGGTTTCTTGTTGTTGATCTCCGATAGTCTTGTGGTGTAATTCGCTTGATGGTGACTTCCCCCTTCCCCAGCTCTCTTTAAATTACAAAGTGACTCAGCACCGGCTTCACCCCCATTGCTCCCAGATCCCTTTCGTTGGTCACCCTGTCTGCATATCACTGTCTGTGAGTCACTCTGCTGATCGTTTATCTCCTTTCAGAGTTAGCAGAGAAACGCCAAGACACAGTCTATTCCTATCAGATAAGATTCTCTGAAATGGATTCAGAATATATTAAAGCCTCATTTATCGGTTATTGATGGGTCAGTCAAGTATTGCGCAAAGCTTAATTTTCCTGATAACCAAAACTTATCATTTAAAGAAACAGTTTACACTTCCAAGGCATATTAAAAAGTTCTTTGCATTCAGACACAGGTAGGATTGAACACAAGAGATGAAGGGGATTTTCCTACAGGACAGAGGTTGGAACTAGGAAAAATCTAAATTTCCTTCCGACTCTTGAGTCCTGCGGTATGTGTAAAACGTCACATTGCTCATTGGGCCGCCGTCTTGGGTGTGACCGTGAGCCCATGAAGAGGACTCTGGGGGTGCAGCAGTGGATGGCGGCTCATGATTTCTGGAGGCATCATGTCATGTCCTTGGGCACCACTGGGCTTGTAGCTCTCTGTTCCTACATTAAGTGTCTCAAGTCTCAAGGCTGCTTTGTCTTCACAGTTCCAGAGTCTTTTCAATTGCCCCTCCATCTCAGGCCCCTGGCTGCTGTTTTGCCATTCAGGGCGCCCCCTTCTTGTGGGCGCTAGGGCCTCCTCATTAGTGGCTTTTGATCAGTGAAGAGGAGGGAAGTCAGAAACCACTCTTACTAGAATCACATGCTGAGTGAGAATCAGCAAGTCTGAGGGGCAGGCAGGGACAAAGGGCAAGTGCTCAAGTAGTTTCCTCTCGCTCCAGAAGTGGCTGTGACTGGCCCACAATCTACAAAACACTCCACTCCCCAGAAAAAAAGCTGTCTGGTCACCTGTAGATTGGTCATCCCTTAGCTCTCATTTTAGGCTGAGAGAAACATGATCTGAAATTGGGTGGAAGAACCCCATATTTTCCCAGCTGTGGGAAAGTTGTACTTTCAAGATTTAGAAGTGGATCCGGTGTGGCCCACGCAAGGCCACAAGACAAGGTGTGCAGAGACACAGTGGCTTCTCTGGGGCCACAGGTTGAACACTCCTACTGTCCAATAGGAGCCTGTTCCTCTACAGCCTTGGGTCCAGTTCATCCAAACTCAAGGTACAGAATGGCCGCTCTGCAAGGCTTGTCCCCGGCAAGCTGTGCACCCCCCGTCATCTCCTCTCAGAGCCCGGATGCCTGGCTCCTTAACCTCTAACCCGCTTTTTTCTCAGCGTCTGTCCTCTCTCCTGACCATTATAGAGATGTCATATGATCTTTTGTCCCGTCCCTGGGACACTTTCCAGTGAGCTGCCCTTGGGGTCCCAGTTTTAGCCCTGGAAAGTCAATGTCACAGCTAGCCTGGAAATTTTGAACACACTTGTCTCTTACTTGCCTTCCTGCGTGACCCAGTGCAAACCCTGCACTCCCACCACTGCCCCCAAACCACCCCCAGTCTTACCTTGCCATCAGCAGCCCATTTCCCTTCCTTGTCCCTCCTGCCTAAGGGAGCCTCCTCTCCGTCTCCACTCACCCACACCCCTCCAGCCATGTGGCTCCACCTCCTCCACAAGGTGACCGTTGATGCAGCCCTGCCCTGCATTCCCACCCACCATTCTTTTCAGAACCATCCTGTGGCTCCTGATCCGAAGTGCCTCACCTTGTCCCAGTCTATATGCGGACCTCATGCCGCTCCTTAGCTTGTCCGCTCTGGGAGAGCAGGACAGTGTCAGCCTCCCCCTCAAGGTCCAGGGAAAGAGGCAAAGAAGGGAGAAGAAAAATTTCCTGCCCTAGAGAAGGGAGGCAGATCCATAATCAAACAGAATGCAGTGGGGTTCTGGCTCCTGTAGGGCTTCAAGATGTTTGGTGAACTGAAAAATCTGTAAACTGCAATGGGAATCAAGAAGTAGAAGTGATCGGTTCTGCTCAAGAATTAGTCAAAGGTGAGAGGGAGGCCAAGCCTCAGAGGCTGATTTTCTGATTGGCCTGACCCTCCAGTCAATGGGACATCATGTGTGCCTGCACACAGGTCACAGAATGGCTCTACTCAGGGAGATGCTGAAAGTTTGATGCTCTCAGGAGGGCACCCGGTGTGGGGTGGGGGCTGAGAGTGTGGGAGGGCATCGCAGCAGATGCAGGGGCTAGCTCATGGCGTGACCCTCTACTGTGGCAGCAAGCAGGACCTTCAGGAGGATTGCGTGTCATGGATCTTGGGAGAACTGGTGTCGGCTGGGCTGAGGCTGGTCTGTGGCAATGAGGGGTTGGTGTTATGGGAATTTCTCAGGTACAGTAGGTCAGACGTAGCGACTACTTAGATGTGTGTGAGAGTGGACAGTCAGTATAACCACTGACTGAAAGAAGGATGAGCAAACCAACACCCTGGTTTTGGTGGGAAGAATGATTCATGACCAGGGTCAACCCCCAGAGATCGCTCCTCTGAAATGTGTCATTGGACTTGCCTCCTGCCCACTGTACGATCCTTTTACAACCTCCCAGCACCTCATTTCCATCACCCCCGTCCTTCCAGGCTGTTGCAGTTGCTACATCTGCTTCCAAGTCTTGGGGCTGCATGCACATCTCTCCTCCCAACTTGGAAGTAAGGGGGGGTGGCCCTCAGGGCCATGTGTGGCAGTGTCCCGCATGAACAACGGCCTAGAACACAAACCAGCCTTGTCAGCCTTCCCAGTTAGTGTTCGTCATGTCAGAAAACCTCATACTTTAGGGAGTCTTTACAGTGCAATTCTGACCCCCTGGAGTCAGCACGCACCCCACAAGTGAAGGGCACCGTTCCTCACTTCAGACACCAGCCGCAGCTCCACGGCCCCCAGGCCACCCGTGACTCGGACCAACTCACTAGCATTTGGAGCTTCCCACGACCCCAACGGGGTGGATGATTGCCTAGAACAACTCACAGAACTCAGTTAAGTGCCATACTTAGGATTTCAGTCTTATTATAAAGGATACAATCAGGTCCAGACATATCAGAGGCCAGGGCAAGGTCTGGGAGGGTCCCCAACATAAAGCTTCCACATCTTTGGGAGATATCGTCCTCCCAGCGCACAGATGTCTGATGACTGACCAGGAAGCTGTGTCCAGAGTTTTTACTGGGGTGTCATCATTGGCCACGTGACTGAGCTTGGTCCCCAGCTCCCACCCCTCCTCTTCCAGGAGATCAGAAGGCCTGGCTGATTTCACTGGCTCAAAGACCCAACCCTCTAACCACATGGTTGGTCTTTCCAACATGGTGGGTCCCCTCCTAGAAGTCTGCAGGGACCGCCATGAGTGCCGTTGTTGGCATAAACTCAGGTGTGGGCCGACAGGCCCCCCACGAATGGCTAAGACAGTCCCTCAGGAACTTCCGAGGGCTTAGAGTTCTACCTCAGGAACCTGGGACAAAGACCAGACCAGCTCTTTATGATAACACAGTCTTATTTGGACATATTTATCCAAGTTTATCTCAGTTTGTGTTCAGGTGGGACTCCTTCAACAACTTTGGTTTAGGTTTCAGAACAAACCGACTTCAGTAGGAAATGGGGCATGGGAGAGGAATAGGTATTTTATCCTGGCATTCCCTTCAAATTGGTCTTCACTGGGAATTTAAGGGAGAATCAGTTACTGGAGAACTCAAAGAGAAATAACAAACAGCTCCCTTTCTTACTTAAATCCTAACTCACAGTTAAAGAGAAAACAAGCCAACATTTCAGGCTCAAGTTGAGTCTTTATTGTACTAATTTCAAGTTTCAGTCTACACTGGAAATACTAGTTTGTATATTAATGGTATGCCTGGGTTAGAGAGAGCCATGTTTCTTAGGTAGCTGCAAGCACTTAACGGCTTAATAAATTTCACAGTGTAATGAGTACATTTTTAAAATTAAAAATATCAAGCATAATTATGGCTCTTTGTGCTGACCTATGTGAGCCAGCAGTAATTGATGTCTATGAGAGACCAAAAACTATCGAGTGGGTGACTCTGGTCCACACGGCACCCCTCCCCCAGCACCTACTGCAGACCTTTCTAGAAGCTGTTCCCAACGGTTGCCACAGAACAGGGTGCTGCTCCTGGATCCGTGAGATGGAAAGTCAAGCCCCAGCCTGGGGCCCCTTAGGATTATACGGTGGCAGACCCTTGCTGGTAGAAACCATGCAGCTGGATTTTGAAGCTTTGTCACCAGTAAATCCCAGTAAACACTTTTTAGTATTTGTTTGCTTTCATTGTGTTTCCATTCTATAGCCCTGCTGATGTGTTATTCACTCTTTCCAGGGCGTTTTAGTTAGTTTTCTCCATGTTCCCCTGAGTCCTTCCCCCAAACCCTGTTTGTTCCCCAGCAGAAGACGGAATGACAGCACAGCCCCATGCTGTCGGTAAGGGGCCAGCCTCGCTCTCCAGGAATACACGCCGGCACTTCGGCTGGTGATCCCACATGCTAGCATCCCAAACTTTCATATTCAGTCTTATTTCCCAGGCCTTTTCCCATTTACACAGCTTCCTGCATTTCCATTAACAGCTTCGGGTTGTAAGAACTAATTGCTGACCGAGTTTTCTCAATTAAATAACATACTGTGTAGAAATTGACCCTCCCCACCCGACTGAAGGTACGGAGTCATCAGCTGAGTAATCTCCACCAGAAGGATCAGATCAAATTTCTGTGGTAGAAAAAACAACATTGTGAAAGGGGAAGGGTTTGGGGGGGGCAGTCAGTATTTGTGTTTGGGGCATATTTTATATTCTCCATTTTCCAAACATTGCCCACCAGTCCTGTGCAGTGTAAGGACCAGGCCAACTGTCAAGTCTGACGTGCGCTCTCTTCTCTTTGTGTTCCTTTGTGCCCAAGTGAACTGCCTCACTCACCTCAGAACCTGCTGGCCAGCCTGAACTCTTCCCACAGCCACGCCGTGATGCTGTCTTGGGTTCGACCCTTTGATGGAAACAGCCCGGTGCTCTATTACATCGTGGAGCTGTCTGAGAACAGTAAGTAGTGAAGTCAAGTCGTCACCTTGGACAATAATCAGATTGCTCTCTGCACACGTAACACCCTCAACCCTTACTTCTGGCTCAGACCCCAAACGACCAGGAAGATGCTACTGATGCTTTACGGAGTTCCAATGAAAACCCCAGCTCTAGCTTCGGGAAAGATAGAAGGTGACATGGGAGCCTGTGAGGGACAAGAAGGAAGGCTGGGGTCTTCCCCTGAGAGCCCAGATCGGGAGGCCGAGGCCCCACGGGGAGGCTGTGCACACTCCCGCTCAGCACCGTCCCCAGGGCCAACTCGGGCTTGGGGAACAATGCTGCACCTGGGGCTGGTTGGGAGCCAAGGACAATACTAGTTAGCGTCTTCACACGTTTCCTCTGGCGCAGACATGGGCTAAGCGTTCCCGGGGCCGTCATTCCTCCACCTCTTGGCCTCTGTCAGCATCTTCTGGCTTTGCTCCAGCCCCACTGGTCCTCCTTCCCTTCTCTCTGTGGGCCACGGGACGGGCTCCCCAGCATCTCTCCTCTCTGCCCCCTGCAGTCTCTTCTTAGGAAGTCATGCACATCCCTGTGATTTCAAGGGCCATCTTTTCCCTGAAAAGAGTTCTTAGTCTCCAGCATCCTTCCCTGGACCTCCGGAGTCAGCCACAGAGCATCGTCCCTCCCCATCTCTGTCTCGTGGTCTCACACACGCTTCCGTGTGAATTCTTCAAACTGTGATTTCAAGTTCGTTTAACCCTGATGATCCTCACCACGTTAGTGGGGGCATTCAAATCTCAGTTCCAGCCCCATGGCACCCTATGTTGCTCCAGCTGGAAGGCCAAGAACAGGCGCTCCTCCCTTTCTCGCCTGGCCCCACGCCCACATCCGCAGCTCAGCCACCCTGCTGGTGTGTGTCCTAGGCCGTGCTGGACCCTGCTCCCCTCTCCAGCTCTCACCAGGACAGCCCCTAACTGGTCCCCCTGCTTCTACTCTTTTTCTCTTCCAAAGCATTCTGACAGAAGCAAAAACACTGATCTTAAAATATGAAGGACGTGTCCTCCCTGGATACACCCCACAGGCCTTAGAATGAAACCCACCGTCCATGGGGCCTGAGTGGTGTCACCTGCCCTGCCACCCTCCCTTACTATGTTATCTCCCCTGTGATCCTGCACTCTCCCTGGGCCTCCCCCATGGGGGAGAGAGCCAGACCACAGGGAGCTGGGCTCTTGTGACGGGCGACGTCATGGGGCCCACGGCTTGTCTCCTCGTGCCATTGTCATTATAAACGGGTCCCTGTTCAGGACAGCTAGGAATGGACCTCTCTCGGGGTCCCGGCGCTGAAACCCGAGTCACACAGGCACAAGTGCACGTGGCTCGTGGGCCCTGCTCACTTCTGCAGGCGCGGGTGTCCCACAGCTCTGCTCACGCTCCTGCCGACCGTCCGCTCATCCTATAATTAGTGACTTCACTCTCCGAGTCTTTCCTAATTATCTTTCATACTTCCCCCTCATCTCGTACGAGCGATCCGCCCTCTGATCATCGCATGCTTGCACCACAGCAGGCCCTGTGTGACGCTCATTTTCCAGTGGAGGCAGCCGACGCGCGGAGTAAGCCGCAGGCCGAGGTCACACAGCCGGTAGGAGGGGGCGGCGGGTTCCCCCCGGGGCCCTCCGCCTCCACAGCCTGTGCTCTTAATGAGCGTCAGGCATCCACAGAGACGTTCGGCGGGGCAGAGTCTCCTCTCGGCACTTGGCAGCAGCCCTGAGGTGAATGCCAACCCACGGTGGTTCACTTGGGTTCCCGTCTGTGGAGCTGAAAGGGACCCACTCCGTGAACCTGCCTTCACTCGAGTGGGGCGGTTCCCAACCCAGTCCTCTGAGGGAGGTCCCAGGAGCAAGATGTTAGTCCCTTCCCCGGGGTTTCTAAATTTACATCCTTGGCTATGACGGCTTTGGTTTTGAGCTCGGTCTGAGAACCAGGTGCCCGAGGTCCGGGCCCTGGTTCCCCTTTCCCGTGGACTCCTCTGACGGCCCATCCGGTCTCTTTCTTCAAACTGGGGGGTAGGGGAGTGAATGGAAACCGGTCTGCGTGCCACCATCCCTCGTGGCTTCAGCTCAACAGCTCTGGTCAAAGGGAGAAGGCATCGGCATTATTTATTAAAATAACCTTTCTGAGAAGATAAAGGTTTCCTGAGGACGTCGTGGTCATGCGTCCTGTAAGAACCATAGGGCTTGATGTCAGTCTGTATGGAAACAGCGTTACAGGCGCAGAACTCTTGCCCTCGGGATTTAGACAGACACGGTTCCCGCTGGGCATCCGTATCCTTGAGACCAGGACCGGGTTCGTTCATCTCTGTATCCTCGGCCCCTGGCACCTGGTGGGCACTTGGCAAGTGAACTGAACCAAATCTCTCTGGTAGAGTCCCTTTGTGATGGACTCGGGCTACGGCCCTAGACCCTCTCCCAAAAGACAAGTGCTCCACCATTCTCAGGTTACCAAAATAAGACATTGTTTCAAAACGCCATTCCCACTGTTTTCTCAACAGATTGCGTGGGTGATTGGTTCTTCCAATCAGACATCTTGCCCGAGTAGGAAACAGGCTTCCTGTGCAATCATCCGTTCCACCCATGCGTCCACTCACCCAACACTAAATCCTGACTGGGCATCTGCTTCAGCCCAGGCGCTCTGCCGGGTGCTGGGATGCAGAGCTGAGGTGATCAGTCTCCACTCATTAACTGCAAGGAGAAGGTCACACTCATCGCCACATCCTGCCACGTAACGAGCTCCCGCCGAGGTTTGTGCCAGTACTATGGGAGCCTGGTACGAGGGGGACTGGCCAGGACATGAGGCAGAGAGCCTCCAAAGGGGACAGGCCCCAAGACATGGGCCAGGCAGAGGATGGAGCAGCATCAGCAATGGCCCCAAAGCGTGAGCCTCGAGGCACGGCGACAGCAGCTGGCTTCTATGGAGACAACGGGGGGCTGGGCCGAGACATTGCCAGGTGCAGCGGGGAAATGCAGACGCACGGGGAAATTCTCCCTCACTCTTGGTGTCCCAGCTCAAATATGGCTTTCCTCCATACCTGTCCTTGACCCACACCGCCATCATGCCCAGGCAGCCTTCCTCCTTCCCTCCTCGGGGTCCTGATACCATTATATGTATTTCCCCTTGAGTATTTGGTGCCGTGTATAATAGTGACTGGTCTACAAGTGTGTCTTCCAGCGAGACCGTGAGCCCCTTAAGGGCGGCCCGGGCCCAATTCTCTTTGTACCTGTGACAGCCAGTAGAGAGCCTGGCACACACGGGTCCTCTCTTTGGGCGTTCAGTTGCTTCATGTCATGGTGAAAGGGTCTAAGAGCATCGTTAGTCCCTCATTAGCATCTGGTTCTCCCAACTGGACCTTTCTGGAGCTGGCTCCGACTCCCATTTGTTTCTTCTTCAGAGACTGTGATATCAAAGAATCTAGAGTATTCTACACTATTACTATTATTGCTTGAAGTATTATTACACGAAGAACCTAGAGCAGATAAGATGGTTATCTCTGGGCTGATTCCAATTTCTACTGAGCAAAATACGTCTGTGGGCTTTGCCAAAACAGTTCACAGTACTGCCAGTTGCCCGCCTTCCTGCCACAGCAAACAGGAAGCCCAGCTCTGTCCCCTGGGCCAAGGATCTAGTTTTTATTTTTATTAGGAAGCAGTGCCCTTAAGAAACAGCTGAATATACTGGCTAATTATGGTCGGAAAGAACAGCTTAGCAGCAGTACACTAAAATGGAAATTGTATTTGGCCTATCCTCCGCACTGTGCAAGTGGACGAGTCTAACTAACTCCATCCAGCAGTCCATCCGTCCAGCTCCTTGGGACACACTCTGCAACCAGCTGCTCCTGGCAGGCTGATCGGGATGCCGTTCTCCTGGAAACCGTGACTCCTGCAGGGGCCAAACTGGTGTGGCTCCGTGGCGGGGGCAGGCCCTGTGCAGCACCTGCCCTCATCACAAACCAGCCATTACCAGAGGGCCTCTCCAGAGCTTTTATGAAACAGAACTCTGCAGCTTCCACTAAGCCTTTGTCCATGCACTTGCCTGGAGGCGAAACCCTCTCCGGAGAGCATGCTGGGCCTCGCAGGCACCCTGAGGACTGCCTCTCTCTCGAGCGGGAGACTTCTCTTCACTGAGCAGGGGCTCAAAGAGGGCAGCAGCGTCCAAAGGCCTGGTCCGAGGTAACTGCCTGGAGGGGCTGAGAGCACACAGGGTCCACAGGCAAGGGGAGCCTGGGGGTCCTGGGTTAAGAGAGCACGGGGATTGTTGCGGCCTGATAGCAAGGACGCGGCAAACTGATCGAGAATTCTGGTGAACAGCTAGAGCATTTGGCCCAGTCTCTTAAGTGCTAGTTGAATTGGATCAAGAATAATCTTTCTTTGAGATGATTATGATAACAAGGCAGGAGAAGAAACCGAGGGAGGCTTTGAAGTGGATTCAGAGACAGATCAAACCCACGTTACCCGGCGTCTCATCCGGCAGCCTTCAGGTCTCTCTGCCTCTGTAGAGACCCACACTTGTCATTGCTTTCAAGCTGTTCCCCAACTCCGTGGATCGTACAGAACTGAAGAGTAATGCAAATAATTCTCCTCCATAAAAATGCAAATAAATCGTGTCTGGGTTATGAGTGGTTCTTGCAGTAACCAGTTATCACTCTGTAGTTACTAACCAGGTTTGCGTCTATCTGTAAATTCATTTAGAGTGCGCGCTGCAAATTCCCTTTTGATACCGTTGGAGCACCTTACTGGTTCCTTCAAGAATTAGTGAGCTACCTAAAATCTTTAGCGCGTGTTCATTTTGTATTTGGATGAGAGCCATGGTTTTACCTTTTAAAGAATGTATCCTTTCAGATGAGTGAGTTGGCCTCATATAGTATTAGAAACACATGCACTCACTGAACGAGCTTTGGCGATAACCCTGATTGTTGGGAGAGGCAATCCTTAATCTAATCCTCAAGCTGAGCCCTCTGCCTGCGCTCC